ATATATTATTATTTTTTTTTTTTTTTAAATTGTCTTTTCAATTTAGTTTACTTTTCATTCTTTCACTCTATTATTGTTAGTTTTACTTATGTTTTTCTACTTTTAGTTTTGATTTAGGTTTTAGTACATTGAAAAAAAATGGGGTAGGATTTACTTTGAAACAATTTACACTCAGAAATTGCTCAGGAATTTCACAAATAATAAAGAAATGGCAAGTAACATGGAATTAAACTTGTCTGAAGTAGAAACACTGAAATAATAGTATTTTCTTGTAAAATATACTCTGATAATCTTTTTTATTATTTACAGTTTTAAAAAAAAATGTGTTTGTTTATTGTAGTTTTAGGGCTGTAATATCTTTGGATTTTACAATGCATTTATTTGTTCTGTTTTTGTTTTGTTTTTTCAAATTAGTTTTGTTTTCATTAGTTTTCACTCAAGCATTTAGTTTTCTTTACCTAGTTTTAGTTTTTTTTGTTTATTAAGTTTTTGTTTTAATTTTAGTTTAGCATAATTTGAAAGGTTTTTAACTTTTTTTCCATGTTTACAGTAATACAGGTGGGTTGTACAGCATTGTTATTGTAAACTAAAACTAAAAACTATTAAAAATAAATTTTATTATTTAAAAAGAAATGAAATAAAATAAAATATAAACATTTGATGCAAAATTTAAACATAATAATAATAATAATAATAATTATTATTATTATTATTATTATATTCTGTTTTTTTTGTTTAGTTTAGTAAAATTAGTTTAATAATTTAGTTTACTTTTGATTTTCCCTGTTATTATTATTAGTAGTAGCAGTAGTAGTAGTAGTAGTCAAAGTCACATTTTATTAATAAGCAATATTATATAAACAATAATATATCATTTTATTTTATGTTCAGTTTAATGCAGTGTAGTTTACTTTAAGTTTTTAATGTTTATATTTAGATTTCCTTAATGATCATAACACCTCTCTCTCTCTCTCTCTCTCTCTCTCTCTCTCTCTCTCTCAGGAGAGGACGTGTAATATAGACGGGATGTGTTTTGCTGAGGGAGACTCCAGCCCTTCCGTTCCGTGTCTCCTGTGTAACTCCACCGCCTCCAAATACACCTGGTCCATTAATCAAGGTAAACACAGTCGACATGAAAGCAAACCGAGATCTGATGGCATTAGCACACATTATTGAACAGTATCTGTACCTGGAGACACTCACACAGCACATTATTAAGATGCAAATTAGTTACAAGTTTTAGCAGCCCTGGGACTCGACCCAACAACCTTCTGCAGCACAATCAAATTTAAAGCTAATTAAATGCAAATAAATATAATGCAGTTAACATAAAGATACAAATAAACGTAATGCAATTCACATAAAGATACAAAATACAAGCTGTAGTCTAATATTTAATAATAATGCTTCAGATGCAAATGTGCATACACTGTAAAAAAAAATTTACCGTAAAAAATACGGTAGCAACATTTTAGGTTTTACGGTTTTAACTTAAATTTACAGTTAAGAGGTAGAGGTGGGTTCGAATCCCATTCCCGCTATATAAAAAAAATCTTTAAAAAAAGAACAGTTTGGACTGACTAAATGTGACATTTACAATGTTTATTTAACTGAAAATTTGTGTGAGGTGCTTACTGTGTCAGTTATAATCAAACTATAAAAGGAAGTAGGGTAGATCTGAAAAGACTCGCTGTCTTGCTACTACTTTCAGTATGTTTGAAGGTAAAAGCCCACAGCTTAACTAACAGACCTTATTACAGCAACTAAACAAAGATGTTATATGGCTAGTCAGCTGGAAAACGCTCGCTGTGAATTTCAATTAGCTGACGTTACATTTTTGGATTTTACAGCCTTGCAAAAAATGAAGCAAAGCACTTGGTAATAAACTTTAGTTTTGGGTTTATTAGCTCACTGATAAGATTTTTTTGGCCTGTAGTGATGTGTAATATTTCATTAGGTTCTTTTAAATACTGTTTTCATCTCAGGAGACTTACAGGATATGGATGAAGAATTGGACTGTCCTGGGAAGTTTTATTGTGGCAAAGAGAACTGTAGCGAATTTACCACAGTTAAGAGGTGTTGTTGACCATGATGAAAAGTGGCATAAACATTAATGTGTTTTTACTGTGGTAAAAACACACTGATGCACACCCTTGTGTCTTATAGATTTTATATGCCAGTATATGCCAGTTGATTTTATAATGCCAATAATCCCAAAACATAATAATTTAGCAATAAACAACTGTATTGTTGTACCGAATGTGTTTATTATTTGTAATCAATTAATTAATTATTAATATTAACAATAACTACAATTTATTAATAATAATAATAATAATAATAATAATAATAATAAATAATATTATAGTATTTTATTAATATTAAATATATATATACACAGTATCTCACAGAAGTGAATACACCCCTCACATTTTTGTAAATATTTTATTATATCTTTTCATGTGACAACACTGAAGAAATGACACTT